ATTATTTTATCATTGCTGATTATGGCATACAGCTTAAGAAAACTCCAAAAATCCTATCTCAAAAATTAGAATAGCTCTCAGACCAAGTAAAAAAAAAAGATTTATAACAGCAAAAACACAAATCAAACATTTGGAAAATGTCCATTTAATGGCACGGATTACTGCATCAATGCGGCGTGGCATGGAGGCAATCAGCCTGTGGCATTGCTGAGGTGTTTATGGAGCCCAGGATGCTTCAATTAGCGGCCTTTAGTCCATAGCATTGTTGGGTCTGGTGTCTTTCAGCTTTCTTCTTCACAATACCCACATATTGCTCTATGGGGTTCAGGTCAGGGGAATTTGCAGGCCAATCGAGGACAGTAATGCCATAGTCAGTACAACCAGTTTACTGGTGGTTTGGGCCACTGTGGGCAGGTGCCCAGATCATGCTGGAAAATGAATCCTCATCTCCATAGAGCTTTTCAGCAGACGGGAAGCATGTAGTGCTCTAAAATCTCTTGTACACAGCTGCATTTACTCTGGGCTGATGAAACACAGTGGACCAACACAGCAGCTGACATGGCTCCCCAAACCATCGCTGACTGTGGGAAACTTCACACTGGATTTCAAGCAACTTGGATTTTGCTCCTCTTCCAGCCTTTCTCCAGACTCTGGCGCCTTGACTTTCCAAATGAAATACAAAACTTGCTTTCGTCTGAAAAGGAGGACTTTGGACCACTGTGCAACTGTCCAGTGCTTCTTTTCCTTAGCCCAAGTCAGCGCCTCTTCCGTTGCTTGAGTTCAGAAGTGGGCTTGGACCATGGGAATACGGGCTATTGTAGCCCATTTCCCGGACCACGGTCTGTGAACAGTGACTTTTGATAACTGGACCTCCAGCCTTCATCCACCTGTCTTTGAAGCTCCCCCAAATCTGGAAGCGACTCTCTTCACAATGCTGTTTAAGGCTGCGTGTCATCTCATCTTGGTTGTGCAGCGTTTCCTGCCACATTTCCCCCTTTCCCAACAGACCTTTTGTGAATGTGCTTTTGAAACTGCACTCTGTTGAACAGCTTGCTCTTTGAGAAATTTCTTTTGTGTCTTACCCTCCTGATGGGAGGGTGTCAAATGACGGTCCTCTGGACAGCAGTCAGATCAGCAGTCTTCCCCATACTTGTGATTTAGTTTTATTGAACCAAGCTGGAGTGTTTTTCAAGGCTCAAGGAAACCCTGCATGTGTTTCGAGTTAATTAGACGATTCAAGTGATTCGTTGAACACCTACTAGTATACTTTTTCATGATATTCCTAATATTTAGAGATAGGATAATTGAGTTTTCTTTAAGCATGTATGCCATAACAGCAATATTAAAATAAATAAAAGGCTTGCAATATTTCAGTTGATTTGTAATGAATCCAGAATGTATGACATTTTTGTTTTTTTAATTGCATTACAGAAAATAAAGAACTTTATCACAATATTCTAATTTTCTGAGACAGTCCTGTATGTCTGTGGAATGGTATTTCACAATAATAAAATAACTACCATGTTATATTCAAGTGAAATCCTTTTAGACTTGTCAAATCTTCATTCAAGCAGCATGAGATGACCCTAAGCATTGGCTGTATCGATTGACATCCACATCAAGTGATAGATTTTTCAAGGTTAGCTGAATCCATGGATTGCTTTTTTCCATTTTGAGAGACCTTTTGGCTTAGCAGAGTGTTGTGGACCCCATCTGTCACATTTATCCCAACAAAATGGCCTCTTATATCTCAAATGTCCACTAGCTTTGGTCAGGTTGTACTCTTTTGGGTGTATAAAAAGAGCTAGGGGAGTCTTCTGTAACTATAATTCACTTGAAAAATGCTGCTTTTTATTTACCATATAAAGTTGTCTACCTATGTTATTTAAACAGATTATTGTGCATATACCCTAACCAGGGTTTGTATCCTTAACCTAATCCCCATTTCCCTTGCACCGTACCAGGGTTTGACCACTCACCTTCCCAACCCTAACCTTAACCAGCCCCCCACTTGGATA